TGAAGCTCTGTAAACTTCATATAGGAAATTGTTCTCTGATATGCAAGGCATGTTTCCACCTCTGTAACCAAGGAGAAAAGTTAGATTAGCCCTACTTCTACCCAAGGTGAATGACAGTACCCTGTGTTTAGAGAAGTTTCTAAAAAAGAGGAATTAGAAAATATTAGATTAATTAAGATTTTGGCTTTTGTTAGGGTTGCACTATCTGAGGTAATGCATGCATTAATTAACTCTATTTAGTCATTCTGCAGTGTACATATATTTCAAAACATCGTGTTGTGTGGAATAAATATATATTATTTTATTTGTCAATTTAAAACATAAAATAAAATATTAAAAAAGATTCTCTTTTTTTTTAAAGCGAAAATACACAATGAGATTCAATTTAGCTCAGCCATCCAGGCATAATCCCCAAACCCAAGTCCATTCATTACATCTGTGGGTAAAAAATATTTTTTCTCAAAATTGGGTTTTGTAGGGAAGAAAGTTTTCAAAGGAGGAAGAGAATTAACAGTTAATAGGAATAAAGAAAGTAGGCTGTTTTCTAGAGTCTTCTTTATGGAAACAAAGGAAAATACAAGATACAAAATGGGCCTGAGAAATGGGCCCTTCAGGCTGAGCAAAAGAGAGGCCATGTGTGGAATTTTCCCTCATGTAGTGGCTGGGATTAAAATTGTTTTATTTTAATTATCTACTCTTTCCAAAAATTATTTTTAATTTGATCTTTTATATATAAAAGTCATCTCCTACAGGAATGCATGCCCTGTATTTTTGAATTATACTATTTCCACGTTATCAGATAAAAGGCATTAATATTTTTGAAGCTAGATTCTGAAATTTGAGTTGAGAAAGATACTATTGTCCCCATCTTCCTCAGTGAGGCCTGTAATGTGCATGTTAATGTTTCTGCACCAAATTATGTGAGATCAAGTCAGGCTGAGGTCAGGTGATGATTTCCTACCAAAGGAGTTCAAGGAAATCCAGTTAACAATTTCAGAGCTTTTGGACTTTGGGATTGTGGCTATGGAAACATGGACCTGTTTATTCACAAAAGTACAGGGAGAAACATTTTAAAAGGGCAACCTTCTATGAGGTGTAGACGCTTCTATATCAGACATTTCTCTCTGTCCAACTTGCCTAATTGAGACGATTAGGATGCAGCAGAATTCTAGCTTTGATTTGGTATCAAATTCTTACACTATGTTTATGAGTATGTTTCAAAAAATGATGAAAGGAGAGAAGAAGGAAGAAAGGAAGGAAAGGGAGAGAAGAAAGAGAAGGGAGGGAGATAAGTAGAGTACAAGAGAAGGGAAGAGGGAGACAGAGAAAAAGAGATGAATCATTTTAAGAGTCTTAACTAAGCTAAGACACTGATCTAAATAGAAAGCTCTTTATAGACTCGGAGAATAGAAATGATATAATCTGTGTCATGGCAGACTTTCTACACCCAACAATGAATAGATTGGTGCCTTTTAAACTCTGTTCCTTTCAATCTTTGAAAGTGTGGGGAGCGGGGTAGAAAGGGGGAAGAAATGATATCAAGGATTGGAATACAGTGAGAGAATTGGTTTGGATTTTGGACTTTCTCCTGACATTTAAACAAGACAGTTTAGTCTTGTCAGCCTTCATGTGAATAGAGTTTCATGACTTTTCTCTTTCTTCTAATTCTTTAATGAAAAGCCAATAATTAGCCTGTTTAAAATAAAGCCGTTCAATTATTTCATCATCTAAAAATCAGTAAAAGTTTAATTATTGGTAAGCATATACCATGTATTATTAGATACTGCTTCTATAATGTAAGAGCATCAGCTAATATAACTAAAACCCACAATCCTATAGCCCATTGATAATCTGGACCTTTTCTTCATTCTAAAAATTGGGAAACTGTCTCAGAGGAATCATTATTTGAAGAATCTTGGTTAATGAGAAATTAGAAGCATTTTAAGATCTAGAAATTTCTTCATACTTAACAGACATTATATTTTAGTAAAACTTGTAGTATATTTCTTTTGCAGTTTCTTTTACAATGTTTGATAAAGACAGTTATCCACAATTTGGAAATAAGACAAAAGCGGGAAAGGCATGCCTTTTCAATGTATATTCACAAATTGTTTAAAAGGCTGACACGAGGATTATGTAGTTATCTACGATAATTTCATTTAGGGCCCTAAAACTGACTAGTTACCTATTGACTTGCAGATTTCTGTTTGGTGGAAAAGATAATTATAAAGTTATGGTTTTGCTGCCTAGTAGAAACACTTTTGTATCCAACCTAGTAATCTTATTTAAAATTTCTAACTTTTTATTAAAAAGTTAATAAATACGCATTTCCTCATATGTTCTTGGCACAAAGTTTACCATCTTAAGGTGAACAAATGACTTAATACGTTTTTAACATGTATTAAGGCTATATTCGCAGAAGAAATGTGTTTTAAACATTTTGAAAATTATACTTTATTTCACCAGGATGCACAGGTGGACTCCCTGCTGGAACCAAATAAACTAGGCTGTCCTAGAAATCTGTCTCATGTGCCATTTATGCCCAAGCCCACCTCACTGGGCCCTTGGAGGGAATCTTGATTGGGAATTAGAAATAAATATTTACCTCTGTCTTTCTCTCTCTCTCTCCCTGATTCTAAGAGGGTTTTTGCTTGCTTGTGTCTGTTTCTTGCCCAAGTTCAATTCTGGTTTTAGTTTTCACATGGCCAATAACTTATCCCACACTGGTGGCAAAAATGATTGGAAAGTTAAAGCATGGAACAGAAAAACTCACCAGTCTAGGCCCCAAAGGCATAAAATAATTTTCTCCTGTGTCTGAGATTATGAAACCGAAACTACAAACTGTGATTAATCTTTTGCCTATCATTAGGGAAAACCTTTAGCTTTCGTGTGTGTGTAACATTTTCCTACTTCCAGAAGATATTAATAGATTAATAAATTGTATTATAACTCAGACTAAAAGAACCTCTTCATATTAGCTTATAGAGATTAACAGATAATTCCATAAATATAATAGTCTTTCATAGTTACCAGAAAATTAAGATATATAATATTTTCTGTTAAGAAAAAGCCTTTTCAAAAAAATTGCTAAGGAGCAATTTTATATAGCAATCCCAATTTACATGATCAAGATGAACCCTTGGGCTAATAAAAATGGCTTAATAATTTTGATTTAAAAAGAAAAGCTACAGCTCTTTCCTCTGATTTTATCAGCATTGGCAATAATGTAAGTTTTTCTTTTAAAACATTTAACATTTACATATATTTCTTCATTAAGATCATAATTAATTTGACCTTTCTTAATCTCTTATAGTGATTTACTGATTTGACATGTTAATATTACTTAATGATGTTTAATGCTTAAGATAACGATGTTTAAAATAATGAATTTTAATTTTGTGGTTACCATAATGTTTAAGATAATAAAATATATAAAAACATAAAACTTTGTTCAACTTAATTGAATTATTATTCTGACAGTTTTAATATCAACAGTAATTATGTTCTGAAGTGTGTTCACTTAAACATCATTTCTAAGAAACTTAGTTCGTTTAAAACTTAGGACTCATACTAGAGTTAAGGATGTAATTTCAAAGTAAGATAAAATACCAAAACCTGAGTGTATATGCAGAGTGTATATACATTTTTTTTTTACCACGTAGAAGATATAAGAGGGGTACATATGGATTGCTTTATCTGAAGGTCTGCTTTATGTGTGATGTAGGGTTCCCAAATTTCTACTTCACTGTTCTCCCTGTAAAGTAGAGATTAGTTATTTTGGTAATATTTGTAATTAATAGGAGTAGTTGGGAATATTTATGGCAAATTATATATGTTTAAGGGAATAGGATATATTTAGGCAAATTATTATTAATATGAATGGTTGGGTACTGTTTATATTACCTAATAGAGTGGATATTGTAATTGGAAATTGTAGATGTTTCAGGTGAAACATTGAACAAGTCTTTATGAAATAGTAAAATATTGCACCCTAATGAAGAATTTTACTCTTGTCTGTTTTAATGTTATTGGTTACTGTAATAAATGAAACACAGCCATTTAGTTTCATCTCAAGGTATTTTTTGCCTTCCTTTAACACTTGCTTAAAGGTTCTGCTATAAATTATTGGCCATCCTAATGACTTTCAAATATTGTTGTTTCAAGGGTTTCTGTTTTTGGTTCAGAGGCAGATGATTTTATGAAAGCTGAAGGCTGACTCATAATCTAGTAGAACAAATATTAGTTAAACCGACTTGAAAAAAATACATGAGGATGCCTGTAATCCTAGCACTCTGGAAGGCTGAGGCGGGAGGATCACTTGAGCTCAGGAGTTCAAGATCAGCTTGAGCAGGAGAGAGATCCCATCTCTACAACAACAAAAAAAAGAAAGAAAGAAAGAAAAGAAAGAAAGAAAGAAAGAAAGAAAGAAAGAAAGAAAGAAAGAAAGAAAGAAAGAAAGAAAGAAAGAAAGAAAGATAGATTAGCTAGGCATTGGAGGCTGAGGCTGGAGGATTGCTATCCTTTTCTTCAATACAAATTCTAGCCTCAAATGCAAAAGGGACATAAGGGATTTGGAGTAAATTAAGTGAAAATAGAAATTATCAGTAATCAGTAATTAAAAAAAAATAGTGCTAACAACTCATCTGTTTAAAGCAGATTATTATTTTATGCCTAGGAAAGAGGGTGAATGATCATCATTTAAATTGCCTTTAATTGTATCTTTTCACTATTTCTTTCCTAAGATTCCATATAGATCTTGTGCAGAAGTCCAAACTCAAATGGACACCATTTGCTTACATTACTGAGGTCTTTAAAATTTTAAATAGATTTAAATATTTACCTCCATGAAAACTAAATGCCCAGAGACCTACATGTCTCCACAGGAAATAAGCTTAATTCATATTTTCCTCGAACACTTGCCAAAACCCGAAACTTAAACCCATTTTACAATACATATAGTAGTTAACATTTTCTTTTGCATGTCTTTTTGCCTTTTCTAGCCATTATGTTAGCCAGATGTGCCTGTATTTTGAAAAGATCAAAGTCTTACCTGAAATAAAGGGAGGAAAAACTTTGCGAGATTTCATTCCGAGATTCAGAATATCAGTCAAGGCATGGTAAGACAGATAATTTAGAGCAAGCTTTGAACTTATCAATGTCTATCTGAACTGAAAGGAGCATTTGCACACTTGGAGTCTTTCCTAGTGATTAAATAATTTAATTTTAATTTAAAATTCACTGTAAAGAATTCTTGCGAAAAATGATGGATTTCAATATATCATCTTTTTCTTTCTTTTGTTGTTTTAATGACATAGTAAGCTATGTGTAAGGCCAACATGAGGAGAGACAAAAAATAAAAGTTTATAAATGTGGTCATTTTGTCCCCAAACCAAGGAAACAAATGACAATCTTGGTATTAAAATTGTGCATTTTATATAATTTCCTCTGCTTTTAGTCACATTATTATCTGAGATCTTTCTTCCCTCTGGCTTTCTTGGGAATTGTTTTCTTTTTATACTTGACTTACCATTTTAAATGTTACCCACAACCAACATTAGAATTTCATGGGAATTTTTATTGCTTTTTTTGTTTTGGAAAATGTAACCCTCGAAATGAAATTAATTTCTTTTAGAAGGTAGAATCTATCAAGGGAAGGACATTCAAAAAGGAAATACTTGAAAAGGATAATTGATAGGTGAATTCACTAATAAGCTTAATTCAATTTAAAATTAATGTAGCAAATGATATATGCATGGTAATCTGTGAAACAGCAGGGAATACAACATAGAAAAGTCATTATACTGTTTTATAAGAAGAGAGATGGAAACCATTAACTAATTAAAATAAAAGACAGAGTAAGCTAAGTGCTAAATTATTACATATACAACAAAGGCTGGGGGAATCATAGGGTATGTCAATTAGCTTCAGTAAAGTCTCAGGGACATCTGCATGGAGGACATAATGATAATAATTTTCTGAGTTGAATTTCATGGAGAGGGTAGGAAATTCCAGGTGGCCAGATGGTTTATGTAAATGCATGGTGGTTGGAAAGTCTTGGTTATATTCAGGAAACAATGAATTCCATATGATTGGGATGTTGGGTGCTTCTGTAAACATGGAAGAGATGTGGGTGTAAAGGAGAGAAGTGTGGAATGGTCATTTGCCTCGTGCCAAGCATTGTGCGTTTACTTTGTAGAACAAGAAGAGGCCTTAAAGATTTTTGAGCGGATAATTGACAGAATCAGATATTTATGCTTTGGAAAGGTTGGTTGTAATAAAATGTAGAAACTATTGTAGAGAGAGAGAGAAATAAAGACTATATGGTGAACTTAATGATATTTTCTATGTAGACTAAACTAAGAGCCTAAAATAGGAAATTATTTTTCAAAGAGAAATAACGTGACACAATTAATAAACATTATGGTGGAAAAATTGATGGGATTCAGTGGCCAATTAAATGTGAGATATAAGGCAATGAAATAATTTGATAGAATTCTGAGGTTTTGAGCCTGGATTACTCAAAACTTTGTCATTTGAGGAGGTGATAACTTTTGCAGAGATAGGAAACATTGAAGATTTGGCATGTTTTTGAGGACAAGTAATTTTCTTTGTAAAATTTTTAAAAAGATTTTTCATTCTTAATTATGGATTCATAATAGTTATATATATTTAAAAGGTACATGTGATGTTTTGATATTGTCATATAATGTGAATTAATCAAATCAGGGTAATTGGGATATCCATCACCTCATGCATTTATTTATTTCTCTGTGTTAGGAACTTTCCAATTCTACTTTTTTAGTTATTTTAAAGTATACCTTAACTTATTGTTGATTATGGTCACTTTGTTGTGCTATCAAATATTGCTCATTTTATCTAACTATGTAACTATATTTTTGCACCAATTGACTATCCTCACTTTATACCCCCTTCCCTACTACCCGTTCTATCCTCTAGTAATGATCATTCTACTCTCTGTCTCCATGAGAGCAATTGTTTTTAATATTTAGCTCCCACATATGAGTGAGAACATGCAAGATTTGCCTTCTGTACTTGGCTTATTTTATTTAACATAATGTTCTCCAGTTCCATCCATGTTGTTGCAAATGGCAGGATTCCTTTTTTTGGCCATATAATAATCCATTGTGTATATGTACCATAATTTCTTTACCCATTTATCTGTTGATGGACACTTAGGTTGATTCCAAATCTTGGCTATTGTGAAGAGTGCTGCAATAAACATGAGAGTTTATTGCATCAGTATATCATTTTGATATACTGATTTTTTTTCTTTTGGGTATATAACTAGTAATGGGATTGCTGGGTCATATGGTAGTTCTATTTTCAGTGTTTCAAGTAACCTCCATTCTGTTCTCGATAGTGCTTGCAGTAATTTACATTCCACCAACAGTGTATGAGAGTTCCCCTTTCTCCAAACCCATACCAGCATTCATCATTGCTTATCTTTTTTATAAAAGAGGATTTTTATCAAAATTGGGGTGAGATGATATCTAATTTTAGTTTTGATTTTCATTTCTCTGATAACTAATGATGTTGAGCATTTTTCATATACCTCTTGGCCATTTGTATGTCTTCTTTTGGGAAATGAGTATTCAGATTTTTTTCCATTTCAATTTTTTAATTGGGTGTTTGATTTTTTTCTTATTGAGTAGTTTGAGCTCCTTTATATACTTTCACTATTAATCCCTTGATAGATGGATAGTTTGCAAATATTTTCTCCCATTCTGTGGGTTGTCTCTTCACTTTGTTGATTCCTTTGCTGTGCAGAAGCTTTTTAGCTGATGTGATCCAATTTGTCTAATGTTTGCTTTTGTTGACTGTGCTTTGGGTATATTACTCAAGAAGTCCTTGCCCAGACCAATGTCCTGAAACATTTCCCCCATGCTGTTTTCAAGTATTTTCATAATTTCAGGTCTTAAATTTCACTCTTTAATTCCATTTTGATACGACTTTTGTATATTGTGAGAGATACTGGTCTAGTTTTATTTTTTTTGCATATGGATATCTAAAAGCATTTTTTGTAGTATATTTAGGTTTCTGTATGTATAAGATCATATCATCTATAAACAAGGATAATTTGACTTCTTCTTTTCCAATTTGGATGCCCTTTAACTCTTTCTCTTATCTGATTGCTCTAGCTAGAATTTGTAGTTATATGTTGAATAACATTATCGACAGTGGGCATCCTTGTCTTGTTCCAGATCTTAGAGGAAAGGCTTTCAGTTTTTCCCCATTCAGTATGACACTAGCTGTGAGTCTGTCATATATGGCTTTTATCATATTGAGGTAAGTTTCTTCTATACCTAGTTTTTTTAGAGTTTTTATAATGAAGGGATGTTATTTTATTGAATGCTTTTCAGCATCAATTGAAATGATCATATTATTTTTGTCCTTTATTCTGTTGATATATTTTATCACATTGATTGATTTGCATATGTTGAACCATTCTTTCATCCGTGGGATGACTCCCGCTTGATTAGGATAAATAATAATAGGAAATTTCCCCTTGACTTCTACCAGTAAAAGCAGATACACACACACACACACACACACACACACACACACAAAGACACGATCAAAAGGAACATTTCTTTTCATCTGAACCCCTCCAAATACAGTCTAAATATCCCAGGAGGCCACATCTAAGAACAACTCTTAAAAACTGGAGGTGTGCATATACTAATATGTACTTTGTGTATATGCAAAGTAAATGGTTCTTTTTATTAAAATAGAGACAGGAAAAAAACTGCGGAGTTTTCATCTCCCTTGAGAAACATGACATGATGAATTGTTTAGGTCAAGTTTCAGGAAGACTAATTTAACAATATAGTTAGTTACCAAGAACATTTATGAATTTTTATGCAATTGTCCTCCCTGCCCCCAAAATTAACATGAGTGAGTAAATGGAAATTCAGCATAGTAATGAGTAATCAGAGATCACAGAAAAAATAATTAGAGATGGATAAAAATTAAAAATAAAGATAAATGCATATTAAGTTGTTATCTTGAATTGTAAGTCTAAAAAGATCTTAAAAGACCAGATAATAAAAAATATAGTAATTTAAATTATTAAAACTGATAATTTCTTCCCTCAGGGAGTAGCTCAGCTTTTGCTCTGAAAAATTTAAAAACATGTCCACTATTGTGTAAAATTTCACTAATATGTGAAGTTACTGCATTCATTCATAGAATTCTCTTCCTGATTGAATGACAAAGAAATACCAGTAACTAAATTAATATGTTAAAATATTTACAAAGATTATCTATTACATATTATTATTTTACATATATATTATATATGTATATATATACATATATTATTATATCTATTATCTATTACATATTCAGTTTGACCCTCATAATAACCTTCAGAGCTATCTATGTAAGGATGTCAGAACAAGTATCACTCCCTCATTGTGGAGATATGAAATAATATGTGGGAAGCTAAGCAATTTAGACATACCCCGTAGTTAATATGAAACAAGGATGAGAAGGCTAGGCTAGGACTCTTAACTCCCAGGTTTTCTGACTATAAGTCCACTTGTCTTTATGAATTGCCTAATTACCCTACAGTAAAAAATGTACGTAGTGCTATGACAACGGAATCACTTCTAGCAAGTTCATTTAATTAAAATAGGTTTGGTAATTCTATTGTGAAGTTCCAACATTAATTATTTTCATATTTCTATTCAAGTCCCTGTTCTTTCTGTAAAAATAATTACTTTAAAATAATTATATTGAAAACATAGCACGTTTTCATGAACTGTTCTTAATTTACTTTTTGTTCCTTGTTACCTGACACTCCTCATGACTTTACTACCTTTCAAAAATCTTAAAAATCTATTTTATGTACTTCCTTACACATGCTATGTTTTTCATCACAAAATTCCTCACTTGTGAATCAGGTGGATTTTTTACTCACTATCCTAAACTGAGTTCAGTGTCAAACCCTTAAGAAACCCTTTCTAGTCTAAGTGACTCCTGGTAAAGTTAGCATTCCCTCATCTGTGGTGTTATTTTATCTTTAGCAAAATTATATTCTTGACCTTAATACATGGAACCTTATTTGTTTATATGTCTGATTTGTGAGCAGGGG